CGCCCCCGATTCGGGGAGGTTCGACCCAGACCCCCTCGCATCGTGAACAAGAATCGCGACGGGAGGTGTTTCCCCATTTTTGGCCCAGCTGGGGGCCCTCACCGGGCCCCGGGATTGTCAAAGACCGACTCGGGACGAAGAGCCCGTCCTCCGGAGTGTGGGTCGAGACTTCTGGGGACCCCGTGTTGATAAGTCGCGACGGCGGCTCTCTGGGTTCGAGGAGGTCCGAGGGGCGTCGGCTCTCGGCTCTCGGCGGTTTCCCAGCCCCGCGGGAGGCTTGCCAGCAGCGGCGCCTCGCCGGGGGCGCGCCGGGGGTGCCGGGATCGCCCTGGGCGGCCGCCGGAGGCCCGAGCTCCGGCCCAGAGACCAAAGCCGGCGGCGGGCCGAGATCGAGGGCGGTGCGGGGAGGGCGCCCTTGTGCTCTTCGTGCCTGTTGGATTTAACGGGCGACGAACGGTATAGAATAAACTTTGTCGCCGTCGGGGACACCTGCCCCATGGGCGGCTGGAAAGTTTATACCCCTACGGTGCCACCGTAAGGGTAGAAACTTTCAGCCGCCCTGGGGCAGGTGTCCCCGACGGCGAAAAAGTTTATGTTATACCGTTCTTCGCCCGGTAATGGATGTTCGTGTGCATCTTGGGGGGCACCCTCGAATGCTCTGCGGTGGGGGCCAGCGGAGGGTCTCAGGTTCTTGCAGGGTATGTTTTTTTTTCTGGTCCAGTTGTGACTGTGGCCTCTCCCCCCGCCGCCAGCATGTTGCGCAGACATGCCCGCGTCGCGACACAAGAGCACGACGGACGTTTATGTTTGTGCTGTGTCTCTCTTTCTGTTCGGCCTCTGGGGGGGCCCTCCCTGGCCCCCGGGACCGTTCAAGATCGGCCCGGGATGAAGAGCCAGCCTTGACGACAGGGTCGGGACTTCCGTGGACCCCGCATCATCAGAGCGATGAAAGATTTCGCATGGCTGGGTCTCTTCGTCGCGGGCAGAGTAGGGCCCCCCGGACGAGGCATTCCTGGCCCCCGGCGTCGTGAGGAAGAACGTCCGCGGCGGCTACTGTGACGCTGGGTTCTCGGGCTCCCTCTATCCTCGGATCGGACGTAAGGGTCGATGGCGACAGGCTGCCTAAAGGCCTCGGACGCCCTCGACCGAAGGCCGAGAAAACAGTATGGGGATAGCCACCCTAGAGCAGCCTCGTGGCCACCACAGGGCGGAATCAAGAAGTAACCACCCCAGAGCAGCCTCGTGGCCACCACGGGGTGGCATCAATAGTGAAAAGCCCCCCACAGGGCAGCTCGCAGCCGGGGAGGGAGGGAGGCTGCGGCGGGGGGATAAGGAACGGGGATGGTTTTACGATGTCGGCTGCGTATACCGCCGATCCTGGCCCCGCCGCCAGGCGCAGCCCTGGACACTCAGGAAGAGGGAAAATACACACAGACACGCAGAATCGCGTCGATTCCCAATAATTGTTTGAAGATGTGGAAAATGGAGGGGAAAAAGAACATCCAGAAACCATCGAGCATATGGGGGATCCTTGGATTTGTGTGTGAGTGGTGGGAGATTTGTGTGTGGAGGGGGAGTATTTGTGAATCCCTAGGGTGCTTTAGATGCATTAGCGCCTCTGGCGCCAGGGGGCGCTGAGAGAAGCAGGCAGTTGCACGTGAGCTGTTCCCGAACTCCCCCTCTACTGCACCCCCAGACCCCACGCGTTGTGAAAGTGAAACAATCACGACTGGAGGTCATTCGCTATTTTCGGCCTCTGGGGGCCCTTTCCGGGCCTCGGAGCCGTCAAAACATGACCCAGGATGAGGAGCCGGTCCTGGGGAAGGGGTCCACACCTCAGGTGGCCGACGCTGTGAAAAACTGAGGACGTCGGGGGTCTGGGTCTGCGTGCCCCCCCTCCGTCTGGCCTTGCATCTCTTTGGAAGCCGACTCGGTCGAGAGCTCTGGCGTCCGTGCTCCATCGCCTGGGCACGATGGCGGAGTGCCGAGGCGCCCTGGCCGCGGCGCCTGTGGTTCTCAGGCAGGATCGTGCTTGCCCGAGTCTGCCACAAAAAACATACGCACAGACACCCTCCAATGGCTTGCTCGTGGGCCTCGGGGGAGGGTGGCGGTGTACAGGTCACCATTGGGAGCCGGCGACTTTCTGCACATGCACAGGTCGTCGGAGGTGGTCTGTCTTTGTATACATACATATATATATAGTCACATACAACTCTCATACGTATATGTGTACACAGACACATCTACACATATAAAAGAGATCGATGTGTACATATATATATATATGTGTATATCTGTATATGTGTATATATATGTATATATATATATATATATATATATATATATATATTCTCGGCGTGCCAAGCCTGGGGGATGGGGATCCCGGGCCCAGGAGGGGCCCGGCCCCAGGAGGGGCCCGGCCAGGAGCACCAGAGGTGGTCGGCTGACATCTCCACGGCGCGCGGGCGTGCGGTCCGGAGGCCAAAGCTCGGGCCTTGGGCTCATCCAGGGGTGTGTTCTGGCCCTTAGTGGGCCCTGGGAACGACAGGGCCGTTTTTTTACCGGTTCCGTTTTGCCGTTGTTTTGCCGGTTCCGACGCCGTTTTTTTACCGGTTCCGTCGCCGCCGTTTTTTGACCGGTTCCAGCTCCGGTTCCAATCCTGGAGCCGTTTTTTCGCTGTTTCCGGTCGCCGTTTTTTTTTTTTTTGTTTTCCGCTTCCATGTTTAAGGGGCACTTTTGGGGGAAATGGTGAAAAAACGGCCCTGCCGTTTCCGGGGCCCACATAGTTCTGGCCCACGCTTAGGTCGGGCATGTCCTCCTGCAGGCGGATTGTGGGCGAAATGTCGACCATCATCCAACCGTGTTCGAAACTTGTGGGAAAGACAAGAGGAATCGTCCCCATATGATTCTTGGACTATTTTTGAATTGTCCTCCTGTAAAGGGACACGCCCGACTTCAGGCCACGCGCTTGTTGCTACGTTCGCTCGGCCGCTGGGAGAGGGCCTCTGGCCAGCCGTCAGGCCACGGGGGCCCTCTTGGGCCCCCCCCATTAGGGGCGTGGAGGCGGTCTCGGGGGTCATCTTGGGATGTCGGGCCGTCGAGTTGTTCCCTCCTGGGAACGTTTTGGGACCTGTACGGCTCTTCTTGGGGTCACCCTTTGAGGCTTACGGAGCCGTTTGACGCACTAAGATTGAATCCTTTCCAATGGTTTGAGAACCTTGGGACAGTCCCCAAGGCCTCCAAGACGGCCCGAGAGGCCCCGACGGCCCCAGGGCGGCCCCATGGGACAATCTTACAAGCGTTGTGTTCACGATCGAGATCTAGCAGGTGTACCGCGCCGGCGCCGAACAGAGAGAGAGAGAGAGAGAGAGAGACCCAGCGCGTTCCCTTGGGGCCCGCGCTGAGGACGTGGGAAGTGGACCCCAAGTCACGGTGCCAAGGCCGCGAGACAGCTAACGAAACAATAGAAGGGGCGCCCAACAATTTCGTGCTTCCGGGGCTCTGGACCCCACTGACAAATTTCGTAGCCCTCCGTCCACACGTCTCGAAGGGACCTGAACTCCCTCCAGTCAAGTGCCTACGGCACGGCGGCGGGCTCATTGCGTGCGGGGTGATGCCTTGGTCTCGATCCTCATGCTCTGGTGGCAAGAAGAGGAGCCCTTACCATCGCACTCACGTGTGACTCGCGTTCGCCCGGGCTGCCTCATCACAAGCCTGCCCGTTGCCGCAGGAAGCGGACCTCGGCGGCGCGGCTCGAAGCCCAGCCAGCCTCCCTCGATCCTGCACCGTGGCCCCCCCCGCCTGCCAAGCGCCCCCCCCACGTGCCACCGCGCTCTCGACGGCTCTGACGGGTATCTGGCCTCGCGCGCCGCGCCTTGCACACACATCCGCAGAGCAGCCCGCCCTCGGGACGACATGTGCCCCCCAGGGGGGGGGGGGGCGTGGCATGCGCTCCGCTGATCAGCACCTCCCCTCGCAACAACAGCTGAGCCCCCGAAGAACAGAGTGCCCAACAGCAGAGGAGCGCCGAACAGCAGAACGAGCGACCCCCAAGAGAGCCCCAGGGCTGCCCCACTGCTGCCACCCGGCGGCCCCCGAGGCGGCGCCAGCAGCGGCAGGCCGCGCATGCGCCTCCCGGGCCCGCCGCAGGGGACGCTGCCGCCGCAGGGGGCGCTGCCTCGGAGGAGCGCGGGACACTCTGCAAATTGTGCATCCAGTTGCGCTGCTCAGATTTTGGCGGAAACGGGTCCTGAGGGACACGGGTCCTGAGGTTTTCGCGGTGTTCGGGCTCTCGGGGCCTCGTACGGGCCCCGGGGGTGTCATCAGAAAGAGACTCAAGAAGACAAACTCGTCTTGGGAAGAGGCACCAGTGGTCCAGAACCCGCTTCCCTCAGGAGCCGCTTCCCCATGACAATATCTGCAGGTCTTGGGGGGACAAACAATGGAATACATATAACAACTCGAAGGACCGCGCGGACTTCTCGGATTGTTGCAGGGGCCCCCTGTCGGCGCCTCGGGGGGTGGGCGTCACCAGGGGGGGGGGGGAAGGGGGCCAGTTACGTCACGTTTTGCGCCAGGGCGTCTGGCAATGGGAATGACAGGGGACGGGTAGGAGCAGCATGCAGGTTGCGATTTGCACCGCTGCGCCTTTGTGAGTCACAGTGCCTGCGTTTACCACAGCGCTTGTTTACAACACAGCGCCGATGTACACCACAGCAGCCTCATGCAACACAGCGCCAGTGTGCACCACAGTGCCTGCGTGCTCCACGCTTGTGCACACCACAGCGCCTGCGTACACCTCAGCATCCGTGTGCAACACAGAGCCAGTATACACCACAGTGCCTGCGCTCACCACAACAGCCGTGTGTAACACAGCACCAATATACACCGCAGTGCTTACCTGCACCACGGCGCCCGTGTACACAACGGCGCCTGTGCGCACCACAGCAACCGCGTGCAACAAAACACCTTTGCTGCAGATAGGAGGTTTAAAGGAACTCCATGACAAAATGGAGCGCCCGTGGATCCCACAGAGAACCATGACTTTACACAGGCTCGGGAAAGGAATCCCTCTAGAGAGAGGAGCGCCTCTTGAGTCGACGAGTCCTCCCGAGGCCTCCCGCACCATCCCGACTGCTCCCGTCTGCGTCCAGCAGGCTCCCGCAGAGCCAGCCGGCCGAGAGCCAAGTGGATTGCTTGGGAGTAGACCATGCTGCGGTGCACGCTGAGATGCGCACGTGCGCTGTGTAGCGCCGACGCGCGCGACGGGAGGAGGACGAGGAGGAGGAGGAGAAGGAGGAGGAGGAGGAGGAGGAGGACGAGGAGGACGAGGAGGAGGAGAAGGAGGAGGAGGAGGACGAGGAGGAGGAGAAGGAGGAGGGAGTAAATGATAGCATCGCGTTCAGTTCTCAGCACCCCCTTTGGCGTCGTGTTTAGCTTTCCGCAGCAGATCCTCACCTACATGCTCCTTCTACCTGTCCTGTGCGCGCAGGCGCTGTGGTTCACACAGGCGCTGTGTTGCACGCGGATGCTGTGGGGTACACAGGCGCTGTGGTGTGCACTGGCGCTGCGGTGCACGCAAGCATTGTGGTGTACACAGGCGCTGTGTTGCATACGGCTGCTGCGGTGTACACGTTCGCTGTGGTGTACACAGGCGCTCTGGTGCACGCATTGTGGTGTACACGTGCGCTGCCTTGCACACGGCTGTTGCGGAATACACGGGCGCTGTTTTGTACACGCGCGTCGTGGTGCACGCGAGCACTGTGGTGTACGCAGGCGCTTTGGTGCAGATCGCCACCGACATACTGCTCCTACTTGGCCGTAATCATCCCTAGGCACTTCCAGACGCCGCCGGCGCGGAACGTGACGTCACCTGGAAGGGGGGGGGGTGCGGGGCCTGTGACGGCCGCTATTCAGGAGGGAAAAAAACACACAGACACAATTAATCGTCGATGTCCAAGAAAAGATGGGAAAATATGGGAAGTGGTGGGGAAGACAGAACAGAAACCCAGAAAATACGGGGAAATATGGGTAATCTTTTTATTTGTGTATATTTATTTGTGTGTCCCAGTTCCCCTTGAGCTATCGCGGAACATCGAAAATCAGGTTTCTTTAATGTGTATGAAATTGTTTGGGCTCCTGGACCTGGAGGGCCGAACTGGCTGCGCAAAGACTGGCACCAGGACTAGCAGCAGCTCGTGCCCATTCTGGACAGGACTCGCTGTCGGCGTCTCGCTGCGGACGTTCTCCACTCGAGAGGCAGAGAGGCGGCTGCCCAACAGGGGCCGCGGATGGTCTTGGACGACATTCGTTGTTGGGCATCGCACCCATGTTTCCCCTACACCTTCGGCGATGCTTAAGAAAACTTAAGTTTTCGGCCAGAGTCTCGATTATTCTTAATGCTTCAATGTAAATCCTAAGAATTTAATAGAAATGTTGGGTTTAAATTCGAGTTCTGAGACTATGAATTTCTTAACCCATGATTTCTTAAGCATTTCGCAGGGTGTACCCATTCCGGGCCGTCCGCTCGAGAAGGAAAAGGTGCCGATGCCACTGCCCTTGCCCAATTGTCGCCTCGTTGGGCCTCCTGGGAGGCCGTCCCCGCCACGGCTGCGTTCGCCCCGCGATGCTCGTCGGAGCACACCCTTTGGAGAGGTCCTGGGACTACCTCCATCGACATCTCTTGGTCTCCCCAGCTGCCGCTCGTATCCGTCGGGTCGTGGGAGGAGCGGGCTCGGAAACTCTTCCTGCGCTCCCGGGCTCTCTGGGGCCGTCCACGGGCCACAAGACCATCAGCAAGCGAGCGAGGAAGGACTGGTCCCGGTGCCATGCCCTGGGGTTCGGGGCCCGCTTCCCCCAGGACCCGCCACTCGCATGCTAGATCCGCCACCTTGGCGCGGTGCGAAGGACGGAAGGAGGACTTTCAGGAGGGAAAAAACACACACAGACACAATGAATCTTCGATTCCCCAGGAGACATGGGAAACTATGGGAAGTTGGGGGGAAGACAAAAAAACAGAAACATATGGGAAGCTGTATTCGTTTGTGTGTCCCAGGGCCCCTTCAGACTTGGGGAGGAGAGAAGGGATGGGGTGGTAAGGCGTCGGGCTGCGCACGGACAGCCCGCCTTAGGCCTCAGGTCATCCCAGTTGGCCTCAACGGGCCTCCCGAGTAGTCTGGGGCGGTCTCAACACCCTGGCGCCGCCTCCAGCGGCGCCCTTGGGGCGCGCCGCGACTTGGGGATGAGGTGGTGAAGCAGCCCCCGACTATTTTGGGGGCCTGTCGAGGCCAGCCGGAACTACTTGGGGGTGCTGTCTGTGCGCAGCCCGAAGCTTTACCAGGATCGGTGGCAGAGTCCATGAGTGGTTCCACCAGAGATTTTGCATTTGCATTTGCGGCTGCGTCTTGTCGTGTAGATGGCCAGAAGAGCGCAGGATCTTTCAGTAATGCGCTGGGGGGCTGAACTATTCCTTCTGTCAAGAACGGAAGTACTTCTGCCCGTGGGACGCCTTCACATCCTCCTACCCTTCACCGTCACCCTGCTTCTTGCCCCTTAGTTGTACTCTCCCCTTCTCATGTCCGCTTACACACAGACTCACTCACATTCATGCTCACACACCGACTGAATCTGACTCAGGCTCAACTCGGACTGCCCATGTCCATATTCACTCATGTTCGGACTGACTCGCGCTCAGATCCGCTTGGGGCCCTCGTGTGGCCCCCGTGGCCCCTCTTCGGGCTCTCGCGGTGCCACCTCGGAACCATCTGTGAGGCCTCAGAAGACCACTGGAAGCGAAAAGGCGAATCGGGCCCTCGTCGGCGAATAGGCTCGAATGCCTCTTTGGAAGGGTTGAGGCATCTCAGGGGGCATCCTTGGGAGGTTTTGTGACCACTCTGCGCCGTTTTGAAGCGTGCCTTGCGCCTCTCGAAGGCCTCGTGAACGCCATCTCGATCCATCTCTGCTTGTATTAAGCCACCCTCGAGGTTTTCTTTGGCTCTCTGAGGCCATGTTGGACCTTGTAAACCCCCGGGCACCCCACCCTTCCAGACCAGGGGGAGGGGGGAAGTGGAGGAGGACACCTCTCGAGGGGGAAGAAGGGGGTTGACAGAGGAAGTGTGCCCTATAGACCCCCTCCGCTTACGGGGCCGGTCTGAGTTCTGCCCTGTGCAGGCAGTGCGCGTGGCAGTTCGCAGGCACCGCAAGCACGTCAAAACACCGGGTACGGAGATGGCCCCGGCTTTCTTGCGCGGGAGCTCCCTCGTGCTAGGCACGAGCGTCCGAGCATCGTGCGCAGGACTGGCCGTGCTGCGGATGTCTGTTGCGCGGGCACCGCGGGCGCGTCTCGTCGGCGCAGGCGCCGCGCCTGGCACGGTGCAGGCGCCGCTGGCGCGTCCAAACATGGCATGCAGGCATGGCTTGGGCGTTGCTGCTTCACCGTAGGCGCCGCAGACGTTGACTTGTCGGCGCGGGCACTGCGCACGGAAAGGCGCAGGCTCCGCCGGCACGTGAAAACGTACGCAGCATTCATGGCTTGGGCATCGTCGTGATAGCGCCGGCGCCGCAGGCATTGCTCCTTGTTTTGGCAAAGGCCCGCCTGCCCGCTGGGGGTTATCTGAGGCGGGCGCGTGAGACCGACATGAAACGGAGACCCCCAACGGGGAAATCGGTTTCGGTGTGCACGCAGGCGAGGCGAAGCTGCACGAGTTCCTGCACCGCTAGGGCGTGCGTGGGGCTGTCCCGCGACTGTCCAATGGTTCTTCCGTGGTTGACCCGTGCTTGTTTCGCGTTTGTTCCGTGGTTGGTTGTTTTGTGCTTTTGGTTGTCTCGTGGTTGTCCCGCGGTTCTGTGGTTGTTTCGTTGTTGTCCCCGGATTGGCTACGGCACGGCGGCAATACAGTCACACATTCAATTCGATTGCATAATGAATTATGTGTCGGAATATGTGGCGAGCGTTGGTTGTTTCGGGGCGCTCATTCTGTGGTCGACGCGATTAGTTGTTCTTCCTCCTTGCCACAGCCCCCCACTCCCATCCACGTCTGCGGGCATGGTCTGACCTAGATGCCATCTACGTGAGAGGCGAGGAAGAGAGCCTAACTGGTGACTTCTCCGACTGACTTAGATGCCATCCACGCTAGAAGCGAGTATTTGCGAGGAGCGGCAGTTAAGCCTCTTCCTGAGGTGTTTG